GGGCTTGGCAATGGTTACCTGGATATGATACCAAAAGCACAGGCAACGAACACAAAAAAAGGCAAATGGGATCCCTTCAAACTTAAATACTTCCACGCATCAAAGGACACAAGCAACAGAGTGAAAATGCAACCTACGGAATGGGGGATATTTGTAAATCATGTATCTAACAAAGAGTTCATTTCCAGAATATAACCCCTGCCACTCAACTCAAGAACTCCAACAACCTGGTCTTTGTAATGTCCCTCAACGACCTTCCTCCCCCCGGAAGCTTCAAAGTGACCCTTAGCTCAGAATGTCTCGTGTACCTCATTTTCCCTTTCTGTCCTGGAACCTCTCATGTATGTGGGGTTACTGAATCTCTTATGAATGTGGGATTCCCACGGGTATGTATGTATTAAATTTGGTTATTTTCTCCTGTTAAAATAATAAGAACTCCTACAAGTCAACAACAACAAAAAAACCCAATTAACTTGACTAAAAAAATGTCCAAAGGACATGAATAGACATTTCTCAAAAAAAAAAAAATTTACAAATGGCCCACAGGTGTATGAAAAGGTGCTCAACATCACTAATCATTAGAGGAATGCAAATCAAAACCACAATGAAGTATCACCCGACACTCATTAGGATGGCTACTATTTTAAAAAAACAAAATGAAATAAAACAAAATAACAAATATTGCTGAGGATGTGGTGAAACTGGAACCCTTATGCACCACTGATGACATGGTAAAATGGTGCAGCCGCTATGGAAAACAGTATGCCAGTTCCTCAAAAAATTAAAAGTAGAACCATCACACAACCCAGCAACCCACTTCTAGGTATACATCCAAAAGAACAAGCAGCAGAGTCTCAGATATCTGTATACCTATGTTCACAGCAGCAGCATTATTTGCAACAGCCAAGAAGTGGAAGCAAAATAAATAAATAAATAAATAAATAAATAAATAAATAAATAAATAAATAAATAAATAAATAAATAAATAAATGCTGTTGGGGGGGGGGAGTGGAAGCAACTCAAAGGTCCATCGATGGATGAATGGGTCAAGATTAGTAGTTGCCAAGGCTGGAAGAAGGGGAGCATGGGGAGTGACTAGTGACCATTAAAATGACATGGGGTTCCTTTTCGGGGTATAAAAATGTGCTACAATTAAACAATGATGATAGTTTGTTAAGCCCAATGGTTTCTGGTGCTTGGCGCGACTGACACCATCTTAAGAAGCAAGTTGCTCTCAGTAACTGCCAGTTTACCCAGGGAGGGATTAGCTGGAAGGAATGTAAATTATATCAATAAAAAATTGGGAGGAATGGAAGGAAAAAAGAAAGAGGAAGAGGAAAAGGGGCCAAGTGGGGAGAAGGGAGGAAGGAAAGAAGGAGCAAGAGGAGAAAAGAAAACGAGGAGAAAAGTAAAGAAAAAGAACTTAGACCCATCTACCCAAATCACATTTCCACATTTAAGACCATACTGGTAAATGGCAGAACTAATACTGGGTCTAGATAAGACTCCATGTTTTAGTTTTTCCTGTTACATTATACACAGGGTCCTCATTTCTGCTGACTCCTAGAATGAACCATTCCACAACATGTTATAAGAGATGCAAATCGGAAAGAAAAAGCAGAAATGACAGGTACACTGCCATGAAAAGAGGCAGTATAAAAGAAATAAGACTTAAAATCTAAACAGGGATATTAACAACAAAAACACAGAAGGATAACTATAGAGAGTGTAAAAGTAAATGCTGCAATCCAATATTATGTATCAAAATAAATATTTTAAAATAATATCCTTTGACTTTGCAATTCTCTTTTAGACATCTGACAACTTGTATGTAAAGTTATTCATTATCATTTGTTTGTAGTAGAAAAAAAAGAAACAGCTTAAATATTTATCAGAGAAATAAGTAAATTATATATGATATATGTAAAATATAATACTTTGTAGCCACTCATCTGTTACTTGATAACAGGAAAATGTCTACAGTGTGTTAAGGACCCCAGTTACCTAACAGCATGTAAAATATTCTATTTATATAAAATGTTACTGAATTATGAAAATGAAATATCTCTGGAAGGATATACACTCATTTCTGAATGACAGAATTGTGTCATTTCTGCTCTTTTTTACCCTTTTCTGTATATTTTGAATTATTTGAACACTTTATTGCATGTACATCATAGAAGAAGAAAAACTTTTATTAGCACATATTGCTTTTAAAATCAGGTAATAATACTATTCTCAATTCAGACAAAAAGTTTTCTTCAGAACTGGAATTATTTCAAACAAATGCCACAAAATACAAGAAAGCTAATTAACCATAATTTCACCTGATAGGCACTGGATAAACTAATGATACTTTTCTGAAAATGTGAACTAAATGCTATAACATCTATAATGGTCACTATTAATTCAACAACCCCACGGCTGGAGTGACCATATAATTTAGCAAACAAACTGGGACACTTCTGAGAAAGCAAGGATCCACTGCAAGAATTATACTGGACACGGGTAAAAACGGAGACTAGCCTAAGCAAACAGGACATAAGGTCATTCTGCCCACAGTTTACTAGAATTATGAACCACAAAACAGGAATTCAAGAACTACATAAATTGAGTTGAATGAAAAAGTCGTTGGCGCTGCGACATATCAAAGTGACATATCACAAGGTGGTTCTAGCTAAGTCTCAGGGTTCTTGACAGCAGTGGTTCTCAACCAGCGATGCCCATCAGTGTTATCCAACAAGCTTTTCCAAACTTAACACTCCTGGACTCTCCCCCTGAGATTCTGATTCAGCCGATCTGTAATGGGGTCCAAGACGTTGGTTTTGTTTGTTGGATAATCACTTTTCATTCAACAGGTGATTCTCACGCATACCCTTGGATGTTGTGTCAACTTAACCGAGCGAAGGGAAGCCCAGGGAGCTTGTGAAACGTTATTTCTGGTTGTTTTCCAGAGAGATAAGCATTTGAATCAGTAGACAGAGTGAAGACCACCCTCTCTGACACCGGAGAGCCCGAACAGCACGAAAAGGCGAAGGAAGAGCAACTAAGCTCTCTTGCTTGAATTGCCTGGGACACATACCATCAGCCCTGATTCTCAGGATCTGGGGCATAAGGTTTAGATGGAAACTCCACCACCGGCTCCTCTGGGCCTCCAGCTGGCAAGACAGCACATCGCCAGACTTCTCAGCCTCCATCTGAGCCAATCCCTTATAATAAATCTTGCTCTGTATCTACATGTCCCATTGGTTCTATTTCTCTGTAAGACCCTGACTCATACACACCCCAACTGAAAACTGCCACAAAGATCGGTGTCTCAAACTTTAACCCGCATATGAATTATCTGGGAATGTTATTACAATGAAAATGTATTCAATAAACGTAAGGTGGAACATTTCTAATAAGCTACCAGGGGGCGCAGACGTCCGTGGTCCTGGCTGGCGGGCCACACTAACTGGCATGGCTCAAAGGCCGCAATTTACCCGTCTGCTTACTCCCCAAAGTGAACAAATATTTAAGTAAGTGAAGAAACACATTCTATTTTCAGATCAGCATTACTTACATTAAACCAAGGAGGAGGTTATACTTCTTGACCGAAGCTAAAAAACTCAATTTTTATTATCTGCACTAAAGACCAGAATGATTAAAACTTAATGAACTAAGAAAATATGGAGTACTGAAAATATGTAGAAATTAGAGTCAAACACTTGTTCAAAGTTGAAACATAAAGAGAAAATCGTATCTGATGACAGAAGTTTCAATAAAAAGTAGTTTTTCTGTCTCTAAGACAGATAAAATGGATTATATCACACAGTCCCTAAATCATGGAAGGGGAATGTTTCTACCCAATGTTGTGTCAAAATTCACACTTTGTATCATACTGAAACTAGCCCATATGCAATACAAATGTTTCATAAATAGCTAATCAATAAAATTCATTATGCAAACTTAAGCAGCAACATTTATATTCCTGGTGGTATCCAGCTGCTGGTATTTACAATTAAATTTAAGAAAGAAAAGCAAAATTATGTTTCTTTACAAGTCTCAGGACGCCAGACAACTTCTCAGAAAGTTCCATCCCTATTTGTTAAGCAAACAAGCCTCAAATTTCAAATCCTTGTTGAAATAACACCTATACAAATGTCATTGGAAAAACAAATAGCCTGATGCAATAGATGACATCTGCTGGAGTTGTGTTTACACGTCTATCAATCTTAAGCATAAGCCTTGACCTTAACAAGCACTGTCATACTCTTCTTTGTATTCATGTATTAAACAGACTTGGATGTAAGTACAAAACTCCGCAATCTCTCTCTCCCCCAACATTTACAGCCTGGTACAGAATTAGGTTAGGTATGCTGCTTATTACTCTCATTGTGCTCATCACATCTAGTAAGAAAGTAATTAGTAGCACTTACTTGTAATAATCTAATTATTTTAATTACGAAGGGAGTCTTTCTCCTACACTTGACTTGGAGCTCCATGAGGACAAACACACCTTTACTGATCACTTTTATAAGCCTCTGCACCTAGCAGGGCATCAATAGCTATTGGTAGGTTAGGTGGTTGAAGGAATGAATAAATGGATGAATGTTCTAGAACATAACAGAAACCCCCAAAATGTTCACTGATATAGTTAACAAGAAAGGGCATACTTTCTAACGTCTTCATTACCAGATACATAAAATTCAACGTGATGAATCCTCAATTAAAGTATACACTGCAAATTCCACTGACATCAATACAGTTCACCTCTATGAAATGTACACCATGTCACCAATAAAATCTAAGGCGGCTGTGAATGACGCTTAAACCGAGGTGTTCCTTTCTAGTCTCTATCAATCCATTTTTTGTCTTCTGTTATCTTTACAGTGCCTACCAGCAAATCCATTTAAAATAAAGAGCACTAAAGATGGGATTCCTATTCTAGAACACTGAATTTGTTCTCTATTTCATTAATTCACAAAAAAAAAAAAAGAAAAGAAAATTAAAAGCCTCACCATTATTAGGTGACTCTAGGGACTCCTTTGTAGGGTTTCCCTGGTCTTCTTTTCCTTCAGGCTTTTCACTGGCCTTGGATAGCCGATTTCTCAGAGACATCTCCTCACCCACCATTGTGTTATCTAGGAAAGAAGACGCAAAAAGTTTTGAACAAAGGTATCTGGGTTAGGCAAATTTCACAGTATCACCCTATTTAGGGGAGGTGAAAAATGATGATATATTCTCTTCCTTTTATTTTACTTTAATCTTGTTTAAGCTTTTTCTGAGTACAAGACACTATAAAAAAAAAAAACTTGAAGAAATTCATCCCTATAAAGTAGGTGGCTAGTTTCAAAGGCCCTTATTTAAACATGGCCCCCATTCTTCAAGAACAATTTCGTTCAACAAGGCATAAGTATATGAAAAATTAAGAATCCAATAAAAGATACAGTATGACTAATATCAAGTCAATGGTAAAGAGAATAAATATCTGAAGTTCAGAGGCAGCAAAGAACATTAAAAGATGTCAAGTTTCCACAGAAAAGAAGGCATTTGGGCTGAGTCTTGAAGGATGAGAACAGAGCACTCCATGGCTGAAAAAGGGTTAAAACAAGGTCCATGAAAGCCCTGGTCAGGGACCATGAGAGATCAGACTGCTTTACTAGATAGAGGACAAGAAGCACGCGTTTGTTGAATATCTACTAAGTTCAAGGACTCTGCTGAGTGCTTTCCTTTTTTCTCATCTAATCTTCCTAACAACTCTGCAAAAATGTTATTATTCCTGGTTCACATATGAGAAAACAGAAGGCTCAAAGTTGTTCCTATCCATCCCTCTACCCACACACCAGGAACACACTCGTACCTATACTTGAACAACCTGGGTTTATTAGGAATGCATCCCTTGGGGAAACTGTGCAGAGCATTAGAAATGACTTTATTTAGGATTTGAGACTTGGCTAGATGATTTTGGGAGAATGTCCAAAAAAGCAGAGGTTCACTCCGGCTTGGGTGCTGTCAGAGAAAACAGGCACAATTCTATGATTTGGTGTATATATATATATATATATATATATATATATATATATATATACACACACACACACACACACACACACACACACACACACACACACCTGGTGGGGGGGAGGGCAACGAGAGGAAGGCTAGAGCTGTAACTGATAAAGTGCCGGGAGCCGTCTGAGCCTCAGTATCTGACATGGCCAAACACTGCAATTGTGACAAATTCTGAAGCTCTGACTGAGAAACAGATACTCCTTTATATCTTCAAGAATTTAAATTCCCCTTTGGATGCCCCCCAGTAGGATGAAGATCTTACACCCCTTCTAATAGATATATCACAATAATTATATTTTATACACTAAAGGTAATTTTAGTCACACTACTGGTCTCTTAGTAAAGGTCAAAGTACATGCCCTGTAAATCTTAAGATTCTGTTTAGACAATAGTTTTTAGAATAAATGTTGGGTGGTCATGGTAACCATCCTTTAGGCGATTATGTAAAGGCTCAGGCCATGGTCGCAGTCATTGTAGGTGGAGGGATTTGGGCGTAGTTGGGATAAGTTAGTCTTTAGCATAGAAAAGGTATAGCTGTACACTGGAGCATAAGAATTATGAGGAAGTAAAACCCTGATACTAATGAAACAATGGTTAAACTGCCTGGTATAAAAAGAGGCATGCTGTAAAATAAAGTGAGACACTTCTCCTTGAGAAAGCGCTCCTGTGTCTCCACGCGTTTTTTTCCTCGCCAACTCCGCCTCCACCTGAAGGGACCCCTGGACCTGCGGGAGCAATAAAGCAGTCACCATCACTCACATCAGCCTGGGGAGGCGGATGCTGGAAATTCTGTGACTTGGACAATGTTCATGTTTTGTCTTGATCCATTCTGGCCACAGAACGGCCTTGTCTGATGTTGATGGTCAATGAAACTGTTTGTGTTCAATAGAAGAGCAGGAAGACCCAGCTGTTAAGTGCAAGGCTAGCTCGCAGAATCACCATGCTGACAGCACCAGCACAGCCCTAGGATTAGGAGGCTTTCCCATTACAGTAACGTGCCCAAGACCATGCAGCTAATGACAGGACCACATGTGACCTGGGTCCGATCCAAACTACAACCACCACTAACTATCTAAACTTTTTGTTAAGTTGGTAACAGAGATTTGTGATGGGGGGGGGGGGGGGGGGGAAGGAGCTGGAGTCAAACTGTAAAGGTCTCAGAAACTAGGACTTGCTTCAGCCAGGCAGTGGTGAGCCATTTGAAGCACTGAGAGATATGAGCAAGGTCAAATCTGGGCCAGATCAACGTCAAGACAGAACAAGGTTTACTCCAAAGCAGTGTTTTACTTACATATCAAGTTTTTATCAGTCTGAAGCAAAGAGAAAAATAATGAAGTACTCATTACATTATTTTTAAAGCTACGTACTTTTAAATTCTAAGATTAAAGTCTCTGTAGATTTTTAGGTTAAAATGTTCTTTTCTGTATGAAATGTACACATGGTGAGTTGGACTGCTTTCTTAAATATCGCTGCTTGGCAAAGTAAATATCTGACAAATCTAGATCAGGCCCCAAATCTAGGTCAGGTCCCTTCTAATTTTTTTCCCTGAAATTGAACAAATGAAATAATTATGGAAGAGTAGATGGATATATAATATCAAGGAGAAATTTGGGGAGACCAATAAGATCCTATTAAAGGGAACCTAGGTCAGAGCAACTGATAAATTTAAAAGTCATCGTGTAACAGGAACAGACGACGCTAGAAAAGCATCTAATCCTCCAACACAAACAATTAAGAGAACTAAATACAGAGGGCTGTTCTCAAGAAGTAGAAATCAGGCAAGACAACAAGAGGCAGAAAGATGCATGAAAGGGACCAAGATGTTTCAAAAAGGAAAAACTTACACAGGGGACAATGTGGATTAAAAATAGGGACTCTCCTTCTGAGCGCTTATGTGCTTTACATGCATTATGTATTTGAATCTCAATATAATCTTTAAGGCAGGTACTATTATTGCATTCCCCAAATATTGTCTTTGGTCACCGTGTCTTCCCATATACTCTCTTTCTAGAAAGCCAGTTCTCCTCTGCCCTTCCTTTATCTAGCTACCTCTACTCACCCTTTACAGTAAGAGTCACAGCAGCGGTGGCAGGAAAAACAGCAGCTGTGATTTAGTGAGCAGCTACTAGGTACCTAACCAGGCGCTGTGCTGAGTCCTTTGCATTTTCTTAGGAAATCTTTACAAACTTAGGAGGTAGGTGTTAGTCTCATTTCACAGATGAGAAAAATATAGTTTAGGGAAGTGATTTAACTGGGCCCACATCATCTGATTCTCCAACAGCAGAACTGGGATTCAAAAAACCAGAACTACCAGATTCCACAGCCTTCCCTGGAATCGCCGGATTAAGTCCCTTCTGAGGTTTCTTTGACCACCATCGCTCGCCTCACTCCTCCACAGTCACACAGCACCCTGCGCCTCCATCACACCACTATGCTCAGAGAGCAATATTATCGGCCTCTTCCACGAGCACAAGTTTCTCAAAGACAAGGACTACGTGGTTTTTTTCTCTTGGAATCCCCCAAATCTAGTGGGGAGTCTCTGGAACATGACAGGCATGCCTTAGTACAGAAAGTGGATGTATCCGTTAATGCCGCAACCCGTTATTCTAAGGAACAGGATACGGTGCTGAACCTTAGAGATTCAAGAGGAGGATGTATGCTGGCAGGAGGCCAACGAGCATCATCTTGACTGTTAACATCTTTAGACATCCTACTCGACAGTAAGATCTACCACAACTGTTCTGAATTGGGGGTGGGAGGGCCCCGAGACTCCTAAGCGTATGTGAAAACTACTTCAAATATTTCAATGACTGAAAGAAACAATTATACATTTATCATACAAACCAAACAATACAGGCTGATGAAAATAACGTTCCTTTGCTTTTGGCTGAGGCTATCAACTCAATGAGAAATCAGTTATCTCGTGCTGATTAAAAGCACGTATTAAGAGGTGAAAAAATACTTAATACATCAAGTTTGACAGGCAAATACATGATGTTTTTACCAAGGCAAAAAAAATAAAATAAATTTTAAGCCTGGGTACCCCGTAGAAAAATAAAAAACATTTTAAAAGTCCTTGGTGATGATATCAGGATCCACCACACTAGTCTAGACAATAAAGCCTTACTTTGAAAGCTGAAACACAGGCACTGAGTTTGCACAATTACATGGCCATAATTTAATCTACTTGGTTTAGAAGTAAGCCAGAAAAGAAAACGCTAATTTAGTAACAAAGTTTTTATGTCACAGTCTGACTAATATCATTGGCCTCCATTTCCTCTATTAGCAGGAAGTGAGACGATGGCAATACAACAGAAAGCACAGGATTTGGTATCAGAACGTGGGAGTTTATGTCTCTGCTCCATCATATCATTATGTCCTTGGGTGATTCTTCCCACCTCTCTGAATCTGTTTCTTCATCTAGGAAAATGAAGATAAATACTACTGCAGTTGATGATCACAAAAACAGTTAAGATAACACATACTAAAGTGCCAACATTTATTATGCACAACCAAGTTTTAAAAATTAAGTGATCTGATACCTACATTATCTACCTCCTGTATACGAAACGATACAGTCCGCCATTAAGCCACACCACTCCTCAAATTCTACTTGTGTTTGCTTTTATGATGTACTAGATGAGGGTAAACAAAGTGCTATAATTACATACTTCCTCAAATACAGCTCAAACACCATGTGGTCTCCACAACATTAACGAATTTTATTATTGTCATATATACAGATGATAGGAAGGATAATTATTACTTAAAATAGCTCACCTCGATTCTGACCAAATCCTCAGATCATGTAAACCATAAGATTGAGCTCCTCTGCCATGTATGTCAGCTAACAGTATGGGGCTGTTATTGCAGAAAATGGAGGCAAATTATAGTAATGCTCAGCTCAGCTGTTCTTTCTCTAGGTCGACGGGACTTTTGGGCCGCTGTGTGCAGAGCAGACCACAAGGGCAAGAGTGCAGGCCAGAGACCAGGTAGTTACCAGAGTACTGCAATCATCCAGGTGAGAGATGAAGGAGAGCTGGACTTTTCATTCCCTGACCAACCTAGA